GATAAGGCACTGTAGGAAAGATGGTGTGAAATGCAGTGGGCTGTACACTTTCTCTTCCCCTTACGAAGTGYAATGGGAAGATCAAGGTCAGTGGGATCAGCTGCAACAATGGTGTTAGGGACAAAAACATTATCATTAGAAAACATAACAGGCTCAAGAGGAATACCTAGAACTATATCTGCCGAATCTGGAGTTTAAGAAGGACTGACAGAGAGTGGTGTGGGTCGAGGATGTGTGGAGTCAACCATCATCTGCAAGTGCTGGCTGAACCGATACTGGCTGAACTGATGGTGTAGGTGGTGGCTGAACTGATGGAGGCACCACAAAAACAGGAAGAGGAACAGATTGTGAGTTCTCCTCCCCAAAACTCTCCCCCTGAGGAGAACCACTCGAGAAGAAGAATGTGGATTCAAAAAAGGTAACATCCATAGTGACAAATTAGCTCCTCGATACTGGGTCATAACAGCAATACCCCTTTTGGTTCTGAGCATACCCAAGAAAAACACATTTCTTGGCCTAAGGATCCAATTTCTTGCGATGAGGGCCAAGAATGTGAGCAAAAAACCCTCAGAGGTATATGAAATATCTCTCCATCTGGAAAAAGGAGGCTAAATGGCACCTGAAACCCCAAAGGTTGTAATAAGCTGTATAGTTTGCAGCTCAATTAGGGGTGGACCAGCTAATAGTTGAAGGTGACTCAAAGGTTGCAATAAGGTGGTTGCAAGACCCAGAGTTAGTAAGTTGGTGCTTCAGGAATGAAATTAAAAAGTTTAAGGCACTGACAAGAAACATGGACCTAAGAATACAATGGGTGGAGAGATCAGCAAATGCTATGGCAGACTATCTAGCCAAGCAAGGGGCAGCGAGGGAAGCTTTGTATTGGGCACAATTGTAACTTATTTCTTTTTTTTCTTCTTTAGTGGAGAGATCGCAGCTCACGCCTCTCCAAGGGCTGCTTGTATGTGCTAACTTTTCCAAATCAATAAAAAGTTCATTTATTTATCAAAAAAATAAATAAATAACAACTAAACAAAGTGATAGAAAGCTCATCCAACCCAAACTGCCAAACAACACAATGAAGTCATCAAAGTTGCAAAAGTTGAATCACCAACAATTTAGATATTGAATTAGATTTTTCATCTTACCAGTAGTAGAAGTAAGCATTTCGATAAAATTCTCAAACAATGCTTTAAAGGGTGGAGGCATGACTTGGCGGTATATTAATCAGGACAAGAAAGAAAACTAACACAAATAGAGAAATAGAGATAAAGAAAAGAGGAGAATAGAAGCATCTTAACGCAAAGGAGAATTGAAAAAAATAAAAATAAAAAGAGCCACTGCTTTTACTTCGTCAAGTTATAGTAAATGACAATAATTACAAGTAAAAAACTATTCTACCCTTTAGGGCCATCAAAAATAAAGTCATTACCAAATGTTGGTCCCAGCAATCCTGAGTCTTGAGAGAGCTGGACTGGATACAAACCTAACCTTTGGCATTTTTCAGCATGAGGGGGCCACTGACATACTCAAACCGATGTTCTCATGCTTTTCAACCCAAGATTTACCGTTACACCAAGCAATGGCCCCTATCCTAAAAGACAAATATCCTCATGACAATAATAACTAAAACTAAATTATCCTCAACTTTGCCCCCTCAGGTTCAAACTGAGAATAAATATTGATTTTAGGGCTCCAACTTGGGTAGGCTTGGGTTGAGCAAATGTTAAAAAATGAATGGGCCCAGACCGAGGGCCCAAGCCCAATGATGTGTAAATTCTTCAAGTCAGTACCTGACTTGCACCCCTAATTGATTGAACCCAGCTTGCTAAGATTAGTTTCAAGCTTCAACTTAGCAACAATGTTGATGAAAGCATCAGCTAACTATTGATTTGACTTCTGACTTCACTAATGGAAAGCAAACCTCTCCAAAACCAAAAGTAAATCTCTTCTTTGATAAAATGTTAAACAATTTCAAAAAAGTTTGGTCTCATTATGTTGTTCTGGATTATAAGCAATATTAGTAGCCACTTCGTTAATAGTACAACTTCATGAAAGCTTATAAAGTTATTCCCAACTTCAAAAAACCTTTAGGGTTTATCTTTTGTATTTTTTTTGGTTTTATGAATGAAATACTTTACCTTACAGTTTCAAAAAAAAAAAAGAAAAAAGAAAATCCAACTGCCCTAACAGTATCTTCAATCAAAACAGCCTTGAATACAAATGCCATAACTTGATTTATAGTTTTCAAGGCACCGAGGTGAGGCTAAGTGACAGGGGGTACCTATTTGCCTAGTCGCCTAGGCGGCAGATTGTTTTTTAAGTGAAAAAAAAAAACATGAATCCTAGGGTAATCCCTAGATTCCATAGCAACCAGTAGCCATCTTTCACTAGTAGTTACTAATTATCTATGATATTTATAAAAAAAGTATAAACTTCACATTAAAACATACAAAAATCAACATATT